TAGCTAGGACTGCAGAAAGGCAACAGACCTAGACAGGAGAGACCCCTGCTCATGCACAGCGGAGCTACTGCTCAAGCAGTGGCAAAGGAAGTTTTTCCAACCCAGGCGCCTCCCCCTTGGCCTGGAAAGCCCTGATTACAATCTGCATTCGCTAGGGCCAGAGGTCTCCAACCTTTTTAAGCATGAGATCACTTTTTGTATTTAAGTGCAATCCAGGATCTACCTCAAACCCCAACACCGCTGCCCCGACTCCTTCCTGCCCTTTCTCTGAGGCCCCGCCCCTGCTCACTCCATCCTCCTTTCCTCACTCATTTTTATCAGGCTGGGGGCAGAGGGCTAGGGTGTGGGGGAGGGGGATGTGGACTCTGATTTGGGGCTAAATGATTTGGAGAGTGGGAGGGGTTCTGATCGGAGCCTGGGGCAGGGAGTTGAGGTGAAGGAGGGGATTCAGCGTGCAGGCTCTGGGAGGGAGTTTGGATGCAGGGTGACTCAGGGCTAGGGAAGGGATTTGGGGTGCAGGGCTGGGGCTTGGCTCCAGTTGGGCACAGGTGGCTTCTGGGTAGTGGTGGGGGGGAATAAGTCAGGCTGACTCCTACTCTGACTCTGCACCACTCCAAAAAGCAGCCAGCAAACTCCCTCCATCCCTGCTCCCCCCAATCTGTGGAGATGGGGTACAGCAGTGTTTCTTAAACTTTTTAAGACTGAGGAACACCAAACAATTTTTTTTTTTAAATGAGGAACACCAAGGATTTTTTGTTGAGCAAAAACAAAAGGGGGGAGGGGGAGAATCAGGGGAAAGTTATCGAGAAAAAAAATTAAAAAGGTTGCCTGCCCCTTTAAGGGTAGCCATTTTGAACACTGTTCTCTGTGGCACACCTCCAACTGCCTCACGGCACACCGGTGTGCCGTGGAACACAGTTTAAGACACACCGGAGTACAGGGTGCGGGGAAGGGCACCTTGACATCAGTATGCCCCCCCTCTTCTTCCTGTACCCTGCACAGCAAGCAACAGCCTCCGGGGGTGGGGAAGTTCCAAGGCTGAGGGCAGGAGCAACTGAGACAGACTTAACAGCCTCCCAGCCAAACCTGTCAGGATCACCTGTCAAAGGCTCCAAGATCTACCAGTCCATCCCAATCGACTGGGTAGTGACCACTGCTCTAGTCCATCCTTGGCCTCTCTGAGAGAGCAAAGCGTGGGGGTCCCTAGGAGCACTAGCTGTGCTGGCGGGCTTTGTGACATGGAAACCTGCCCGTCAGGAACTGGATCCACAAATCACAGCATGCAGGCCTCCGTCGCCTCTGGGTGCAAAGCTGTGTCCAGTTCTGTCCAGGGAGCCGGAGCTCTGCTTTGAGAGTGGGGTGCAGTGCTAAGTGGTACTCACACCGTGATGAGCTTGTTCTGCAGCTCGGGTTTGGTGATGACGTACACCTGGACCGTGTCAAAGAGCTCTCGGGAGATGAAATCCTCTGGCACCTGAATGGCCAAGGAAACCATAATGTACCACTGAAGAGCCAACAGACATAACTCTACAGTCACATAAAATGTCACCGTATCAGATGCTACTGGCTAGTCAAAGAGATGCTCACGGCCAAGGTGCAGGCCAGTGACAGATGGAGCCAACACAGGTTGGGTGCTGGAGACCACCCACACTGGATTCCCCGAGGTCACTGCCTGTTTGAATACCCTGCAGACCTGTCCCAAGTACAGTAAAACTCCAAAAGTCCGGCATCCAATAGTCCGGCACTCCTGATAGTCCGGCATCAAAATGGCCAGAGCCTAGTGAGTGAGCTTCGGCAAAAAATGAGTCACAAGGTAACAGCGGCAGCAGCTGAACTGAGCAAAAAGGGTAAAAAAGGCTTAAAAAAACTAAAACATTACACTATATTGTATACGGTATGTATAATAAAAAGGGTTAAGAACACTTTATATACAGTATATACATAACCACCTTATAGTACCTCATGATAGTCCGGCACCACCTAGGTCCCATAGGTTCCGGATTATCGGAAGTCTACTGTACTCTGCTATCACTGACCTGGTAGGTTATTTTAGGCCCTAGGGTTGGGTGGAATTCACTGAAGAAGATGCATTCAATGCTGCTGCTGCGGTCCATGGCTGCTGCTGCAATAGATGGACACAGAATGGATGTTTACCAAAGGGTAAGTGGAATCTCTTTGGATTTCTCTTCCTTTGGCCTTTTCCCTCCCCTTCCACTAAGAATGTTTGCTCAATAAACACAAGACAAACCCTACATTAAGGCAATTTTTCAATGCACAAGAGGCAGATGTTCCAAAGTAAAGTTACAGCAGCTGTGAATTTGGCCTACGTGACCAATGCAGACTCTGCAGTTAATGCTGTGTGCGATAATACACATGCACTGGGGGGGCAGGTAAGGTACAAAGTATCTGACACCACCGTGGGTTTAGGCACTGAACTCCAGTGCAATCTTTACACAAGTGGCTGGGGTGCAACTCCTTAACCAAGTCACTTCTCATCAAAACAAGCCTTTACCTCTCCTTCCAAACCACAACAGTTACTTATGTGAAGCAACATGTTAACACACCTAGTGCTCACCGGAAGTTGACAATACATACAAAATACAGCTCAAATCCCTGAGTTCTGCACGATTAAAATATGAATGAGAAAGGTGACCTGCAAAGGAACACAAAAATATTATAATTAGGGATGTGAATGTGTGCGCATGTACACAGTTAACCGATGACCCTAGGCTCAGCAGTTCACATCCACGGTTACACGCAACTCCCCCTTCCCCTCAAAAAAACCATGTAACCGCTGAATTTTTTCAGCAGTTCCACGTTTTCCTAAATACACACATTTTACCATCCCTGATTATATTATAATATAAAAGGCAAGAGTGACAGTTCAGCAACTGCAAGCGAAGGGAGTTTGAGTCAGAATATTTAAACTATTTTTCTCTGAGAAGCAGGGGCACGGACTGAATTTTAGAAGTGAACATAAACATTCCAAGTTTGCTTCTGTTAAGGATTAGCATTTAACAGGAGAGTCTTGCAGAGTCAGGCTACAAAGCTCAAACTCTCACAGCCTAGGGCACATGAATGCCAAGGTCGAGTGGGAACGAGGAGTCCTGTGGCAACATAAAAGACACACACGTTTATTTGGGCATCTGAAGGAAGTGGTGCACATCCCGTGCTCGGCGCTGCAGCTGCTCGCACCTAAGACTTCTGTATCACTGAGCACACCCACCCCCGCAGCACGGACCCGGGGAGCCTGCCTAAAGCCTGCAACCAGCCATGGGGCTCTGGGGCGCCAGCCCCCTAATTGCCTTCCCTGCGATGGGGAGCCCAGAGCCCTCCTCTTGCCCGCCCACCAGACCCCTCTTGCACTCAGCGCCCCGGCTCAGAGTCAGGGGGACCCAGGAGACCTGGGGGGGAGGGAACCCAGGAGT